GGGGGGGGGGGGGGTGCAGCACAACTAAACACAGCACATGGATGCAAATCACTGGCTGCTGTCTGTCTGTGTGGCAGCAGGCAGGGGCTTGGCTCCAGCCCAAAATTCCAGGAACACCTGGACGTGCCTCATTGCACACAATTGCGCTGCAGCACACTAGTTGGAAAGCACTGGACTGGATGAGCCCTCCTCTGAGCTAAACAGGTTAGTGCTCTCTAAAATCCAGGGAGGGTTAATGCTGTGGTCACTCCACATATATACTCAATTTGGGAGTTTTAGGTGGTGTTCAAGGTGCGTTGCAGCTGCATTAATGCCTGGATTCTAATATTGTACAAGTACGGCAACTCCAGGGGCCCTGGGAATTAACTGTAGCACTTGCATGTCATTTGGGCTGCAGAGACAAAAAAGTTTGACACCATGGCTTTAAACTATTTTCCTAGTTGTTGGAAGAACAAAATGTCTTTAAGTTGGGCAGCTACCATTCCCATCCAAATTATTAGCTTCTGTTCTCTCAGCTGAAGGGTTGTGAAAGGAAACCTGTGTTTAATTCAGAATTAATTTCATACAGGCACACTTACATTAAACCCATCAACAGCCTTGTGGAATTACACTCTTCTTCTGCTGTTACCTTGCTTTTATCCTTTATTCCCATGCTGTATTCCTCAGTTGGTGTACATCTGATGCTAGATCGCCAGCCACTCACTTTTTTTGTACTTTTGCCATTGGTCTGGCTATGTTGAATAGAAAGATGTCTACAAAAATTGTCAATGTCCTTCATAAGATAATATTTTGGACAGATTTTCAGAGCAGTTGGTAGGGTATCTTTTGAATTTATTTCATTGAAAGAAACCACTATGTATTTGTGCAGAGAAGACCGGTTTTTCAGATCACTGCAGAAGAGGTTAAATGCAAGAGCAAACATACAGTCAGAGTTATCTTTGTGGTTTCTTATATTTTTATAACAGGACTCATCACACTCAGTACCAATATTGCTTGAACAGAGGAAAATTATCTTATCTGCAGTTTCTTTCTGAGCCGCCAGCCATTGTACTGGGCCCTTTTCAGCAATTTTTTGTTTTTGCCACATGTCTATAATAACATCAATCTGGCAAGAGTCGTGCAGAAATTTGGCAAAAGTTAGGACAGTATGATGAAAACAGACTTCTTTTGGATATATAACTAGCACTTTAACAGATTTGTGTAGGTTTGCGTGATGAAAGAAAGTTTGCTTCATAATTGTTTCTGTTGATAATAAAATCAAACAATAGATTTATTAGAATTTAGACATTTTAAGCAGTAAGTAAGATCAGCATTTGAATGGCATCCTAAATTGGCTCCAGTGGTACTGATTACATCTAAAAACAGATTTAGATGCAGGTTTTTAAAAATGTACTACGCAAGACAAAAATCATTACATGAAACTTTTGTCTTGACTCCAAACTCCCATTTATTCTTGGTAATTGACACATTTTATTACTCCAGCTAGCAATGTTTTCTTTGTGGAACATGAAACTAGTTTAGTAAGCAATTTCTCACTAGCGCAGGACAGTACAGCTTTCATTATGCCTTGATCACCTTTCAGTAAGCACTGAAACAGTTTTGCTCCAGATGCACATTAAATCAAATGTATTCACTCTGAAAATTGCAACTGCAATGAATCCTAGAGTACTGAAGGAATTAACTGAGGTAGTTTTGGAATGAATGGCAATTATCTTTGAGAACTTGTGGAGAATTGGAGAGGGCCCAGATGACTGGAAAGGGCCAATTACAGTACCTGCCTTTAAGAAAGGGCAGAAAGAAGATCTGGGAAATTGCATACCAATCAGTTTGACCTTGATACCCAAAAAATCAGGTTATCAAGGAATCTATTTCTAAGCACCTGGAGAATAATGTGATCAGGAACAGCCAGTATGGACAACCTAATTTCTACACGAGTTGTATGGATGAGGATGAGAGGTGGATGTGATGTACAGTACGCTGATTTTTAGCAAGGCTTTTGATACGGTCTCCCATTACATTCTAATTAGAAAGCTAAAGAAACGTAGCCTAAGTGAAAATACTATAAGGTGGATATATAAGTGGTTGGATCATTATATTCAAGAAGTAGTGATTAGTGACTTGGTGTCTAGTTGGGAGAAGGTAAGAGGGGTTCCCCTAGGGATTTGTCCTAGGTATAGATGAACTAAGGTCCCTTCTAGCCCTGCTTTTCTATTATTCTGTGACTGGGGATGCAAAAGATCAAAAATGTTATGGTTAACTTAGTTCCCCTTCCTGAGGAAGTGGTTTAAATTTCCCTCCAACCAGGCAGGGTGCTCTCTTTTTCTGAATCATATATGATTCTTATAACTTATAAGGAAAAGTACGTAGGAGGTACAACAAAATGCAATATAATGAAATAAAGTGTGTGACTTCTTTCACAGCCTCATCTAAGATGTCTGTCAGGAACTTGTCAAAAGGTATAACCTCCAAACAAGACCAAAATAAAAAGGGGTCAGTTTAAAAATGTTCATGGCCTTCAATTTTCCCTACTTGTTAGAGAAGCATAAACTATGGCATGAAAGCATAGAAGAGAAACTAAACGGGGCTAAGAAGGAAATTAGATAAACTGTCACCATAACTGAAGCAAAGACTCGTTTTGTTCAAGTACCAGTGAGCTAAAGGAGCAACTGAGGAAAACTTAAATTATTTCTTCCCATAAATACAACAGAAAATATTGAGGAGATGGTACCTACTCTTTCCAGGTAACGGGCAAGGCATTCTCTAAAACTGTAGCATGAAAAGGATGTGCTGAGCAAACTGAAGAGCAAAGCAGTAAAAGCTAATAGAACTAGGTGATGTTCATCAGGGAATTCAGAATGAATTCAAGAGTGAAAGGATTAACAAAAAATAGGCAGTAGGACCTAACTGAAAGACTGGAAGGCAGTTGATGTTATACCCATTTTTTAACAGACTGTAAGATGGGTCATTGGAAATACAAAAAATTGAGCTTCAATCTGAGATCAACTGGTTGAAACATTTAAGGTTATACAACACCTAAATTAGTATGAAATGATAGGAACAAACTAACCTGACATCTGGATAAGAAAGTCAGAACACAGTTTGAGAAATCCAACAGGAAGCCAACAGAAAGCTGATATAAAAGAAAGCTGATGTCTATTTGAACTTTCAAAAAGCTTTGAACATAATTAAGGTAGACCAGGTAGAAACCAGGTAGACGTGGAGTGAGATGTAACATAATGGGCTGGAAACTATTTAAAAGGACAAGACAAAGAAGAATAAATGGCCAATTTTAAACACAGCAAAAAGTTGGGGATTAACAGAATTCTGTAGTGGGACTGCTGCTTACTCTATTAGCTAGCTGGAAAATGAGCCGCAATGAAAAGGACAAAACCTGGCATATTAGTTATTTAGGCTAGTCCAGCCATGTGAAAACTAATGAGTAACAGAGAGACCTAAAAAATCTGCCTGAACAGGTGGTACAACAGGTGGTACAATAAAGTCCATGGAGACAAATGCAAAATAATATACATTGGAAAGAAGAAACTAGAGCAGCCTGAAGGGTCTACCTCAACTACTACACTGAGGACGAGGGACAAATGGTGGACAGCTCCATAAGAACCTCACCCTTTTCTCATGAAATGCGACATTGTAAAACTGGTACAATGATACTTTTAGCCATTTAATTATTAACATGTTGAATTCATTGCCATACACTATTGCTGAGGCAAGAGCTTAGATTTAAAATTATGATACAGTAATTTGCAATTTATTGCATATCAGTTATTTGCATATTTGGATTATGTATATACATTCTCATAGGACCAAACCATTTGCCAGCTATTCAATTAAGTTTCTTTCAAGTTGTTCAGGTATTAGCTTTTATCATATGTTGATTGATTGTGTAAGTTTAAACTAGAACAAGAAAGCAAAGGATTGACTAATCAAATAATGCAGTGACTAAGCAGTGCACAGAAACAGTTCTTCTTAAAACAGACCATTTGGCACGATGCTTTGATCATAAAATATTTTTGTAACTTGGAGAATGATTCCATATGGCTTTCTGGCATGTTATATCAGTACACATATATTATTTTATTGGGGGATACTTAAAAGGTTTCCCGTACACTGTACAAGATCATTCATTTAGTGGCCATTCGTTTAGTGGCACATTGGTGATAAAGAGAATGGGGCTTGTTACTGCTGGGAACTGGTTACTCGTTTCTGCATATGCATATAGTTAAGTGGAAGGACCTTAATGAAGCATAAAATGTGACTGACTGCAATGTAATAACTGTAAAGCAATTATCAGAAAATCTCTATGGGGATAAAAGATGTCTAGAGCCACCTATGGAGAAGAGCCATTTTATGACAGAATTATACTAGCTGTTTCCAGTTTTTTTTATTATTTTATTTTTTCTGTTACATGCATTAGTTTGCTTACTTGCATAGTTTTGTTGGGGAAAAAAAAAAGTCTGTACAACCAACAAGAATCTACTGTATTTTTATAGAGAACACCTAGAGATTTATTATAAGGGGAAAGTTATACATGATAAGGTATAAGCATCTTTGTGCATCACAGCCTAAACCTAGTCAGTCACTTGGTACAGGGGATGAAGAGAAAACTTAATGAAGGTATGTTACAGAAGGCATTGTCAGGGCCAAACTACTGGACAAGGCAATGCTGTAGTTCCTAAAGCAATGATTTTTGATCAAGGTGCCACAGCACACTGGAATGCTGTGAGATTCGTAAGGGTGTTGTGGTATGCTACAAAATGGCAGCACTGTTAGGTATGCAAACACCTACATGTGATTCACAAAATGAACCCAAAGGCTGTGTCCAGACAAGCAGGGGAGTGCACCTGCAGCAGCACAAATAGTTAGTGGCATAAATTTGTGCCGCTACTTCGTACCTCAGCACACACCCCTGCACATGAACTTTGTTGCAGGACAAATTGTCCCACCCTGGGCAAACTGTCCTTGCCCAGCTCTTCCTGGCATGCTGGAGCAGCCAGGACACAAATGGAGCAGTAGAGATGCTTTGGCTGCTGGCCAGAGGTTCAAATAGGACTCCACAGTGTTAAAAACATTCTGACCTGTTGCGGCCTTCCTGAGTTCTTTGCAACAAAAGAATTGCTTTATTATTTTTCCATAGTCAATAAACAAGTGACTAGGAGCTGATGTTTTCTATGGGGTGCCTTGACTCCTAAAGTATCTAAGCTCTGTGTGGCTTCCACTTGTGACAGTCTTCCTTATCAGGTAAGAGATGCCATCTGAGATTTTTTAACTTCTGTTTCACAACTTAAAATGTAATAGTCTAATACTCTCTTTTCATTTGCTAATTCTCTCTCATTCCGCCTCTGTCAGTTCAGTCGCACAATAGCAATAGACATGCATATAAAACATATAGTGAGTCTAGTAACCCTTACTAAGTTTTGATTGTGTTAAAATTGTGTTTTATGTAATTTTTTTAACTATTGGTTTTTACACAGATATCTAAATTAAATGTTTACACTGAAAAAAGCAAGAAAATGAAGAAAGGTCTAACTGTTTCTTAGCTAAAGGTGCTGCTTAATGCACTATTAGAGCACTATGATGGTTGTAAGAGCAATTTATGACAGAGATACTTTGCAGTGTTTTCAATATGATCGGTCTCTGAGAGGAAGCAGGGACAAAAATCAACGTGAAACACAATAGCCTTGCATCATTTTCAGAGGAGTGAGAAAAACTCTTACCGTGGTTTTTCATGAAACATAGTACAGCAACAATCACACACAGAGTTATAAATATAGCAACAAGGATGAAACACATGCATCTTCCAATCAAATCAATTGTGTTGGCCCCTGAAACAGAAAGAAAGGAGACTTGTAGAGAGAATAGAAGCCTTTTTCATAATTCACCCTAAAAATTGCCCCTGGTTACTTAACCATTATGCAACGGGCAATACGTTGGGTGATGAGCTTGTAAATAACTTATTAAACTACTGACCCTTTTCCTTATCCTACTTTCTTGACATCCTGACCCTTTAAATTTTCTCCCCAGTCTGCAAGAAACATACCTCCTTCTCCCAACAGGTTGACATCCTAGGAGCTGCTCTCCTGGTTGTCCTTTGTCTTTTTCAACATTGCTGCTTGCTATATGACATTGAAGCAATCATGAAAATCAAAATAGCTTGGAAGGAGATTGACTAGCAAAATTTAGGTTTCAGACTCTGCAAATGATATGGTACGTGACCCAAGAGTGCTTATCATCTGCTTAGATGGTGTTTGAAATTCAAAGCTCTTTTTACCAGAGATACTTTTCCAGATTATGCCAGTGGATACTGGAAGATCAGTATGCAAAATGACAGAGAGAACAAGCTATAATTCCTACTTCATCTGAAAATTGGAAGAATAATGATAAAGGCTGAACTAACCATTGCTGTAATTTTGAATGCACGTTGTCAAGGTTCCTGTGCGCCTTGGACAATCATATTGACATTTGGGAAAATAAGGAATTATCTGAAGGAAACAAGTAAAACAACAAATCTTCTTACACAGGTGAAACAAATACTGAAAAACAGCTTTATGATAGTTCATACTTTAGCATACTGTACTGACTATGAGTTTTTCCAAGGGATACTAGCATAAAAATACATAAATTAGAAAACAGTTTCCTTACTAACTGTGAATGCCAAACCTGAAATAAGCCTAGTTAGTTTTCTTTTTACTGTGTATCTTGGTTTACCTTATACATAAACCATGCTGGTTTGCAAACATTAAAGGATATGTTTAAACAATACACTGCTCATTAAATATTTTTAGAATGAATTTAAATTGAACCATTCTTTTGACTTACAGCAGTCTGTGCATCTTTCATTGAATAAAATCTAAATTCAGGCCTTAAACTGTCTGTGTCACTTTGGATGATTTCTCTGGCTATGGATGACATCTAGGGCTTTGCTTTTTAAGGTAAAAAGCAAAATACGGTGCAAGTGCTTACTCTTGATAAAGCTGTATTTTGTTAAAGGTGGCTCTTCAATTGATAAATTTATGTGAGAATTATTGGAGATGAATCTCAGTGGCCTCCATAATTGAAAATAATCATTTATCTTGAGCCATAAATAAACCTGATTTTGAGTACTAATAGTATGCAATGACCTTAAAGCTTATTCCTGCTCACACTGAAGATAGTGGGAAAAATTTGCTTTGAATGCTATGGTACAGGTATGTGCCAGAGCTCATCAAGACCCCAATGTAAATATATTAAGCCAAGATTTGTCTTCAAGTGTCTGACAAAGAAAAACTGTACTGAACAGTTTATATTAGCAGAAACAGGCCTGATGTCCAATAATTCATGTCTAGGAAGTCCATGTAATAAAATTAGAAAAGTAAAGATTAACTTGAAATCAGGGTTATACACAGTACTACATTTATGAAGGGATGCACTGAGCATTAATCAGAACTGATTCAGCGCTTGCATACAACTAATTAATTTGAAAGGAACTAAGATTTCTACAACAAGTTCAGTCAGAATTGATTGTTACCTGTACAGTAATATTGTTGCTTCGATCTCTCACAGGTAGTTTAACAGATGTTCTAGTTTCATTAGTCTAATGCAGATACAAACCCCCAGGGGAGAAAAATGGAACAAGGAATCATTAAAAAAATAGTTGCAAGAGGGAAGTTTTACAAAATACCCAGTAAGTAAAAATGCATGCAGTGTAACAAACCAAATTATGGAAACTATTAAACACAATATATACCAGCTGCTTTAGGTAATGATATAATCTTTAAATCTGTTCTACTATCTAATATAACAAAAATTAGAATATCTTGATATATAATCTTCTTTAAGAGTAAGTTTGAGATTAGTAAAACTTATCTAAATTTGACTGTCAGACCTATCATTTTAATGTACAGAATTTTACAGACTGCTTCTCCCTGTGCATCATTTCAAAATTGAGAGTATTACATATCAAACATTTTTACAAACATTAAAAAAATGCCACTGATGAGAAGTGACATCTCATGCTAATAAAAGCCAGTATGTGTGGCCAACCAGGAGCTAGCACCACCAGGAGAAAATGAAGTAATTTTTTCTCTCTTGACATGAGGCACAACTATTGACAAGATCTTTTAGAAGAGGGATCACCAAGGTTTTGCTGATCTGGGTTGGAGCTTCTAACCTGCCCCTGCCATTGGCCACAAATCTATGCCCTCTCCTTGCACCTCTTTAGCAAGTGCAAACGCAAGCACAAGAGAGCAACTGGGTGAGCTATCAAGGGGGTCACTGCAGCAGATATAGATGGCTTGATGCAGCTATATGCCGCTGTTGCAGAGCACTTAGGTGCCCTGCGCCTGAGAACAGGGACGGCTCAAGAGAGGCCCCTGGTGGTGAGAAAGGGGAGGCGCAACTGCCAGACTCCAGGGCAGCAGAGGTGCTGGTTGCTAGGGGAACCAAGGGGATCAGCTGACAGGAAGGGGCAGGGCTTGGCCCCTTCTTAAGCCGAAGCATGAGGCCAGGAGGGCAGTTCCTCCTCTGGCAGCCAAGGAGTGAGAAGCTCGGCCTGTGCAGAGAGAAGGCCAAGGTTTGGCCGCATGAGTATCTGCGGGTTGCTACCATGAGCGGGAGTATTTTGCCGGATAGTGATTCTGACCGGATGGTTTTAGCTTTATGTTATAGCCCAGGGGGTCTTTGTCTTTTATATTTACTGTTTGACCGGAGGACCGGGTGAGGCTATTAGGGGTGGAGGAGGCCTCATAGGAGCTCCACGGTAGTGTGGGGTCTCCTGGCGCCAGAGAGGGCGCAGCTTTGTTTGGGGGCATATTGGCCCAGCCCTGGAGTTAGGGGGCAGTGAGGAGCCCCGAGAGTGAGGAGGGGGGCAGTGAGGAGCCCCGAGAGTAAACGAAGGGCTGAGACATAATAATAGGGCCATTCAGATCACACCAGCACCATCTGCGAGGCTTGGGCTGCGGTGTAGGGGAGGACGAGCCGCAGATAGCGCCGCCTGTCATTGGGGCGCGCAAAAAAATGGGCAGCCTCCCGCTAATTATAGCAATCTATTAATTAAACAAGATCAAAGGCATGGCAGGCAAGTAAGCAGGCAGTTGGCCCAGTACAGGAGGGCGGAGCTATACCAACACTCCTGTCACAGCCGCTCAATCCCCCATGCCATCCTGAGCTAGGTCAGTCCTCCATGAGTCAGCCACAACTTGTTTGTGGGCTGTATCTGGACCATCAGCCATAGATTGCCAAATCCTGGTAAAGCACTAAGCCTGTATGACTGTCCTCCAGTTCTTAACCCTTGAAATCTAAAGAAGACTGGACCATGCTCACTGGAGCATTGCTCTTCCTAAAGCATCTGTTCTGAAACCTACCACCCAGGCCATCAGGAGAGCTCCACTTATTTGCCTGGGAAAAAAGAAAATCTACATCCCCTGTTACTTTAGGTATCTTGTATCATATAAAGGAGAACAAAAATAGAAATCAGAGTTGTCATTATTGGGTAACTAGAAAACCACATATTTTCATATTATCTGTTATACCTCTTTCTCGATAGGTTCACTGCAGTCCTCAGTATCACAGAGGAATACAGTATATCTTGTCCCAAGGCTACTTGTGGTAAAATTCACTTCCACTTCTGCCTCTGTTTTACATACAGTTATGTTTGGATCCCATAGACTTCCTGTGGGTTGAAAAGTCTACACTTTAAATGCATAATTACTGCTTAGGGGCTAAAACACTTTCCATTGTGTCTGTACCTCTCATGAAAGTCACTAGGCTCACAGCTCTGCTTATCCATACACAATTCTCAACATGGATAGTGCAAAGCAAACTTCCACACAGTGCTCTAATCTGATTAAGAAGGACCCCAAACAAAAATCTGCCCCATACAGATGCTGGCCTCTATGCTGAAATACCCCATAATGGTGCCTTGAAGTAGTTAGTCAGAATAGCAGTTGGTCAAAATAGGGATTTTTTTTAAACTAATGTAGTTCATGTTCCAGGTCAAATCAGCCAAATCAGTTCCAAATCATATCGACTGAGCAGAACTCAATCATTCCAAAAACCATATTGATTGAGCAGGCACAGCTCAATCGTTCGAAACACCATGTATGAGGCTACAACTGGCGAGCATCTTCCATCCCAGCCTTTCACCCTGGGGCTTCAGATACTCCCAAATCCACTGGCAGGCATCCTACGTGTAGGCCCAAGCCTGGAGGTCTTGGGATTCAGTTGCCGTCAGAAACTACAGGCAAGCATCCTCTCCATCCCAGACTCTTTAGTCTGGTACTTCAGATACTTCCTACACTCAATCTTAGCCCACAAGAGGCCAAGAAGGGATAAGGAGACACTGATGGCATGTACTGCTATTTTAAAATGAAAGAAAGAATGTGTTTCCCATATAATGCTGCTTTGCCTCCTCCCTGCCTTTTGGGAAGCAGCCACTTGTCAAAAGGTAAATTAACTACATGTACCAGCTTTGGATAGGCTGGGGGTTGGCATGAATCAGATATGATACTATACACACCAGGTATCAGCATGATGCTATTGCATTCCTTAGTACAATAAATATATACTTGCAAAGACAGTTCTTCTCATATCCAAACTACAGAAGACAAGGTGGCCTCATTTGTGTACTTGCTTATTTTCATGGAAAAAATTATTTTCATAGAATCACAGAAAATTAGGGTTGGAAGGGGCCTCAGGTCTAGTCCAACCCCCTGCTCAAAGCAGAAACATCCCCAACTGGATCATTCCAGCCAGGGCTTTGTCGAGCCAGATGTTAAAAACCTCCAAGGATGGAGATTCCACAACCTCTCTAGGTAACCCATTCCAGTGCTTCACCACCTTCCTATTGAGAGAGTTTTTTCCTAATATCCAACCTAAACTTCCCGTGCTGCAACTTGAGACCATTGCTCCTTGTTCTGTCATCTGCCACCACTGAAAACAGTCTAGCTCCATCTGCTTTGAAACCACCCTTCAGGTAGATAAAGGCTGCTATTAAATCCTGCCTCAGTCTTCTTTTTTGCAGACTAAATAAGCCCAGTTATCTCAGTCTCTCATCAGAAGTCATGTGCCCCAGCTCCCCTAACCATTCTCATTACCCTCTGCTAGACTTCCTCCAACTTGTCCACATCCTTTCTGTAGCAGGAGGCCAAAAACTGGACACAGTACTCCAGATGTGGCCTCACCAGTGCTGAATAGAGGGGAAGAACCACTTCCCTTGATCTGCTGATAACACACCTACTAATGCAGCCCAGTATGCTGCTAGCTTTCTTGGCAACAAGGGCACACTGACTCACATTCAGCTTACTGTTCGCTGTGACCCCCTGGTCCTTTTCTGCAGAGCTGCTGCTCAGCCAGTTGGTCCCAAGCCTGTACAGGTACATGGGATGGTTCCTTCCTAAGTGCAGGATTTTGCATTTGTCCTTGTTGAACCTCACAAGATTTCTTTTGGTCCAGTCCTCCAATTTGTCTAGGTCGCTCTGAATCTTAGTCCTACCCTCCAGTGGATCTATTACTCCCCCTAGCTTGGTGTCATCTACAAACTTGCTTCAGATGCAATCCATCCCATCTTCCAGATCATTAATAAGGATATTGAACAAAACTGGCCCCAGGACTGATTTTGTCTATGTCCAAAGAGCGGATGGTCCCTTGTGAACCCACTCAGTGTGATGATTGTGAAGAGTCAACAGTTTTCACTTTCCTCTCTGGGTACAGAACATGTGCATCCAGTGACTAAATTGGATATTAAGATATCTATCCTCTTTTTTCAGTATTTTAAAAAAATGATGAGATGGAAAATAAAAATTAAGGTTGTCTACATTGCTATGTTTTGTGAAAATGACTTAAAGAATGCATATATTGAACTTACCTTCTTCTATGCAGCTTTTGCTATATTTCATTACATGATCATTACAGCCTGTGAATTGAAATGGACATTATAAATGATAGCATGCACTGAATGTCTTTGCACCTATGTTTTTTCACTAAAACCAAGCAGCTATACATGTTAAATTATTTCTCTGCAACACACTGTAAATAGGACTAGAGAAACACTTGTGTATTCTGTGTAGCTCCCACAGGAATGAGTTTACTGAACAACACTTGTTTCTCTTATTTTTTCCAGCTTGAAAGTGTCACCAACTTTCTCCATCTTCTCAACCACAAAACTATGGCTATCTGTGTGCATTAATGTACTGTAGCCTGGTAATAAATAAACTGCATGTACATGGTTGTATTAAGATAAAATGTTTTAAAAACCTCTCAGAGCAGACCAAAAACGATGCGTACCCTGTGATAGCATCAGAGACCGTGTCCATGTTTGTTACCACAATTTATAAACAAAAAATGCCTCTAACTGTTTTCTCTACTTCCTCCTCCACCTCCTAACAGTCCAAATCAAGTCAAAAATAAACTGAGATAATGCCTGTTTATAGGTATTAAAACTAAAGTGAATTCAGTGCCTTGTATAGGTGCCAGTTTGAAAATCCTCGTTTGTATGCGGGGAAAGGAATCAACCTCTTGTTTGTCAGGCAGCAATTGTGCTCTGACCTGTAAGGTCCATATTTAGAGGTGAGAAAAATAAATGCAATCACCAAGGAGTCAACAGTCTTCTTCTGATTGCCAAGATGATGCTAATTACAGTACATCCACAGTTACCAATCTCTGTTATTTGATCTCTCAGTTATCCAAAAAGCAACGGGTTTTTTAGTAACTTGTAATTATTGGTGTCACATAACAAACTGTTCTCTCTTTTATGCTTTCTTTAATACCAAACCACATCTCTAATCTTAAATTGGATACAGCATTGGAACTTGTAGCTATTGGTATTATACTGTTCTCTTTTAAGCTTCATTTAATAAAATGCTGTATACCTACTGTTATATCTGATATGTAATTTAGAACAGTTTCACTTATCTGTATGGCCTTCTAGCAGGTGCTTTTCAAATAAGTTCAGATAGCCAAAGATGTGTATTTTTATTACACTTGTAGTAGTTTTTACTGTGTTACAGAAACCTTCACTAGGAAAGAGACAGTTCCTTTAACAGTCACCAAACAAGGTGATCCAGATCATTTGGTCTCCCTTTTTACACCACTTGCCCAGTTACTAAACTGCCTTATAATTTCAAAGAAAGCTTACCACAGTGGCCACAATTAATTCATAATTAAAAATAAACAGTGACATAAATGTATCCTTATTAATGTATTAGATTATTTATTAACAATCACTGGCGAAGCAAGATGTTGTCTACTTTTCACTGGCAGATAGAAAGCAAGGAAACTGGGAAGAAAATGAAAGAACTTGAAAATAAACAAGCACCGCTAAGCAAGTGAAGGCATATAGCTATCTTTATTTTGACAGTAATATTGCCATATTGTTGATACCGTTTGTTTTTGTTCATTCTTATCTTTGTTCAGATCTTATCAAGGCGCTCTGTACAATCAACTCCAAAGAAAAAAAAAACAGTACTATAAATAAAACCTTTGTATGAACTAAGTTTAATGGAGAATGTTTGCTAGATTACCTGGTGAAATTAGAAAGAGAGTTTTGGAAGATGAATCCTCATATATATTTGCTGGAGGTAGGTTGTAAGCATGGATGAAATAGTTAGTGACTGGTTCTACAGGGAATCCAGTGTAATGGAACTGCCACTGAAGAAAAACAAAGAAAACGGCACACTTGAGTTCCAAATCACACTTTTGCAATGCAGAGAACTCCTGCGCTGCTGCAATATAGTGGAGAATTCTCTTTTAAAATGATTAGCTGCTAAAGAGAGGCTCACTGAAGAGGAAATACTGATTTTTAGCAAAACAGAATGTCTAGGATTATATATTTTCCTGCAAGACTTGTGGGAGTCTTAAATTCTTGATACTGAAAATTATTCAGGAACCCAGTTCTTAACCTTTTGGACTTGAGGCACCCTCACTGGACTTGAGGCACCCCTTCATAACTTTTGTGAATGAAATAGTACCCAATTACCTCCTTGCAGAGAGGCTGGGCAGCAGGGCTGGGGGAACATTCAGGCAAGGACAAGCCTTAGCCTATACTTATCTACTTAGCTGATCTGCTTATATCCTCACACCTGGGGGCACCCTTCAAAGGATCTGGTAGGAAGGGGCAGGTGGGTGGAGGGATTGGGGTAGGTGCTGGCACTCTGGTTAACATAGACAACATAGAAGTGTTGACAGTTGGGGACACATCTCCACACCACTACCTCCCTCCCTGCTGCCAGGCCCTGGTTCTGGCCAGGTTGCATCCCCATGCCCCGCTGTTGGTGCAATAGTCTGGGGGCCACTTACCCCCCACACCCTCTCCCTATGCATCATCTATGCTAGTTGAGAATCACTGCAGCAACTTCTATAGAAACAATGTATGTCCAGTAGAGGAACAGAATTATTTTTCACTACTATTCAGCTGGAAGAAAGAAAGACATCAAATATATATCTCAGTCCCTTATCTCTTCATTTGAGTACTAAACCAAAAGGCCCCAATTAAATACTTAAAGGCTGGCTGTTCCCTCCAGTTTCATGATCCACAAGTGCTGTTGCTTTCTCCATTCCCTGGAAACTCAAATTACTGACGAATCATTGGCTTGATCCTCCATGAGCTCTGGGAACAGGGCTGCTCTCCATGACCCCACTTCTCTGCCCCGGGTCATGAAATGAAATGTAATGTCCAACCAGCCTCCCCTCTGTTACATGAGCTACACTGTGAGCCAAGCTCTGAGAATAATCACCACAGCACAAATCCTGAGGGAGACATGTTGCCATGGGAAAAGCTCTCCCATCCTCACCATAACTTTGCCTTCTGTTAGTGCCCAAGATATGCATGTTTGCAGGGCTAAACCCTTGATCCACTAAACCATGTGATTTACAGTTTAGCTCTTCCCTTGTTTTACTACACATTAATTACAGCATTAGAGAACAAATTTGGTCCTACAATTTGGCATGACACTTCCTTCTCTCTTCAGCTTCCCTATTCTTAACAAATGACAAACCAATCACTTATAAAATGTACTTACTCTTTGATTCCCTGCCGTAGTTTGACTTTGAAACTTTTCTGTGTAACTGCATCGAACACACTCAAAGTGTCTAACAGTTCCTTGACTGATCACACATATCTTGGTGGCTGTCAATTCTTTGATGCTTGCTGGAAATAAAGGAGGAAACTGTGGTTCAGAGGTATAAATGTCTGCAGCTAATAAAAAAAATGAACTAATCCTCTGCCAGTTTAAACAAAGAATAATAACAGTCTGTCATACACTAATGAGAACAACATGTCATGGTTGCCATGGCAGTCTATCTTTTACCCCTATTTTATAAACCAGAGCCCTGGTTACGCATTTTAACCACTACATGAAGAACAGGTAGGGACAAAAACCAGTGATGCAAATGTGTGTAAGGGATTCTGCACACACTACATAGAGTGTTATTATCCTGTTAAAGAAAAAGCCTGTGTGCTACATAAGCCACTGGCTAGGATGGCACACAGTCAACTGCTGTGGTTAAGAGCTGCATGTTTGTTATGCCCAGTGTGCAATTAGAGCCAACCATGTTATTAGTAAGTAGGGACCAACCAACAGGGCCATCCCTGCAGGGGGCAAATCGGGGTCACTGCCCCAGACCCCACACTTTGGGGGGCTCTGCAGAGCCAGGCCACCTTTGAAAGAGAGAGGCTGTAAACAAAGTCAGGCTTTACTAAAGACAATCTTGGGAAGTGGTACATAAGCTCTTAGATTGGCACTGAACAGCATATGCAGTGATCTGGCTGTATTAAAAATTAGAATTAAAAGTGCCCAAAAATATTATGGTTAAGAACATAAAGCACGGCTTGCTTTTTTAAACTATATTTCTAATGCTCGTGACATTTTTATTATGACTGTCCTTTGATTTTGCAGGTTCTTGTACATATGCTAAAAATTGCCTGAATGAAGGTCACCACAATGACAGTCAGAGCAAACTCCACAGTCCCCTGGCATCCTAACGTGAATCTGTTATTGCTGGCAGCAAAGGAAGAAAGGGGAAGTATAAAAGGAAGAAACAGTGACTGCTAACTTCATGAACTCCGTGTGCCCCTGGAGGCTGGGGGAGACACGGCAAATGTCCACAGGCAGCAGCGGCAGTGTCAGCAGAGGGGGCCGGGGAGTGGTGAGTGCCAACCAGTAGTCGGCGACCACCCGCAGACGCCGCCAGCAGCAGCAGCAGTGGCCAGCAGCAATTGAAGACCACCTGCAAATGCTGCCGGCGGTGTTGGCAGCAAGGGGGAGGGACTGGTGAGCAGCGACCACCCGCAGCAGTGGCGGTGCTTTTTGCAGGGGGTGCACCCACATGTACCCCCTACACGTTGCCAATGGCTAACTTTGTGGTCTGTTGATCAAAAAGGGTGGCTACAAGAGATTAACTGGAATCTACCATATGTAATTAAGGCCTCAAGCACACTTCCTTGCTGTGGGGTGTCCTCGTGAGATAGCTCATGTCCAATTCTCAATAACTGGCACCACCAGAATTTTCTTTAGAAAAGCCAAATGTCAGAAGGTCTAGTTTTAAAGATAAGCAGGTTGGCTTGACAAGACGTCCGCCCACTCCTCCCCTGCCCACCTCCTTCTCTCCCCATTCCTTGTCTTTTGTATTCTTATTCCTCTCTCCTTATACTCAACTTTTGGCACATCCTTCCATAGCATCTGATGAAGTGAACTTCAGCGCATGATAGCTTGTGCTATATATAGATATATATACATCCATATATACTTTATGGTTAGTCAATAAGGTAAACTACCCTGCCTTGTACTTGCTTTCAGATGAACATGGCTAACTATATTTCATGGCAGCTTAAAACAGCTTGCACTCCCTCAGTTCCTGTGTCATAATGAGAGGACAGGATTGTTAATGTAATATGTATCATTATTGCTAAAAGGTCATGTGAAAAACATACTATCATCTCAAAAGTTAGCTGGATAACTGAAGAACACTAACAACTGTAGGCTGAGGTTTCTAGAAAAGGCATGGTAGATTTTCATCTTATAGACTAACCAAAGTGTGTGTGTGTGGGGGGGG